CTGCACCCCTTGAAGGTCAAGTTAATAAAAAAAAATTGAGATTTATTTTTGTGCTTTTTGTGCCTTTATTGTAGAGATATGATATCATTTAAGGATACCTTTCCGATAGAAAAGGACAGCTGTCATTAAAAGTAACACATGAACACCAAGATTCCTTCAAGTGTTTGTGTCAGGGTCCGTCTGCCCGCACCTCCCCCCCCCCCCAAAAAAAAAAAAAAAAAGCTGTAAACCTAGGGGAAACACTGCATGTATTTGGGCAGTTTCGACGGCAACGAGAAACATGTCGTGTCTGTCATGGCATCCGCCGCGACAAGACACATTATATTACAAATATGAAATTAAAGTTTTCTCTGGGTCTGATAACTGTTGGAAATATTTAAGGTAAAAAATATATAACATAGGTTAAGTCAATTTGAATTAATTTAAATAATTTTGTGTTTGAATTCTGTATATTTTGTATCTTTTATTTGGGACCCTGACAGGTTGGATTTTCTAGACTTCACCTGATTTAAACTAACCAAGACGTGTTTTACTTAACCAACAGTACATTAAAGCAGTAACTTTACTTTCTGCAGATTAAAACCCATATGGTGTGCTGAACGTAGCTTCCTTAATGTCATATTGTTCATCAGAACCCAGTAGTTAGGGTAATGACACCCTTTGGGAGCCAGGCACCTTGTTCTTTCTTTGATGAAGCTATTACTAAATAATGTTAGACATGCTTTGGTGTATAATCCTGCAGTTTGCCTGAGGTGCATGTTTTGTGCATTGCCCTCTGTTGACACCGGCCTTTGAAATGTGTTCTTTGTTCAACATGCACACAACAAAATGTTGACTTTACCTCGTCAGCTCAGGTTGGCAGATATTCTGTCACCAACCAGCGCTGCTCCTGGCAAACACAATGTATTCTTAGTGAATTACAGAGGTTAAATCGAAAGCCGCTTTACTCTTTTGTAATCTGTTTACTGTAGATTGATCGTATCCAGCAGAGCTTTGTTAACAGCTGTTCTGTTGTTACCTTGTAACAGGGAGCTGACAAAAGATGATCAACTTGAGTAAATACCGAACATGGTCACTGGTTCTTTTTAAATGAATTGTTGTTTGGACAGGATGTGCCATGCTGTGTTACCTAAAAGACACTTTGATGAGTTTGATGAGTTATGCATCAGTAGCCGTTTTCACATATGCACTCTGGATAATATCTAGATATTTACAGGAGGACTTCTCCGGAGATTCTCCCGACCTAGACATTCACATATGCTCCTCACAGCGGGGGACTTTCCCTGTCAGAGGGGAGGGGGGGGGATTTCCCGACGTAAGACGTGACGTAAATAAACAACGCGGAAGTAGCGGCCGTAGCAACAGAGTCCGCTACACAACATTATAATGAGAATATTTGACTTTACATCAATGCTATGTGTAATCCAATGGAATGACAACATCCACAAAAGAGAGGAGAACAACATACTGATGAACAGAAAACATAATGCAGCCGTTTAATTAGAGCACGGAGATCGTAGTGGTCGCGTGCAGACACTTTAGCCGGTCACTGTATATAGTACTGTATATCTGCCTCAGCTCTACCTCTTTGCCTGTTTATCGATTGAAAGTTAGCTTGAGATCGTATTTCCAACATGGCAGCTGCCATCGTAGGGCTTCATTACACCTCTTTAGAAAACAATCGGTGATGTCACTGAGACTGTATGTCCATCTCTTATACAGTCTATGGACTACAACAGACCTCTTGTAAAATGAAAAACAAAAACATTGTTCCATTTACTTCATTGAGCCACCCAGTACTACCAGTACATGAACTCCATGCTCCATGCTCCAACTACATAATATACTAATATTAGTTGTTACATGAAGAAAAAGGGAAACAGGGTTTAGCCTTTTGAGTCGGGGTTGTGTTATCACATCTTCTGTTCTGACAGGAGGAAGTCAAAAAGAGATAAGATAAAGTTGTGTATGTTGTAGATAAGAGACAGCTTAACTTGTAAAGTTAAGTGTATTTATGGAGTGCAGACTGAGGTACCTTCTGTTATTACTATTGCAGAGCTCAGAGTGTTATAGAGGCAGGCCCACCGACTGAGTTAGCATCAGGGCTGAATTCCAAAGCAGTGTCATCTCTGCTTCCCTGCGTTTGGATGGATAGTCTCTGCAGCAGGAGCAGCTGGCACTAGGCCTGAGGACGCAGGACTCTCCCTCTCGTCTTCCCTTTTGTATTCCTCTCGCACTCTCTCAGGACTTCAGACTAATGGAAGAAAAGGAAGTGAAGGAAAAGCTCCGAGATACTAGCGGGGCTGGCAGGGAGACGGGAGGGGAGAGGAATAAGCGGTCGGTTCATGCTTTCTGTTAGTTAAATAAAGAGACTTCTTAAAAATGCAGACATGTCATGTGTGTACTTTGGTAGTCTCGTTTGTTGCACCACCTTTGACTGAATGCTTAAAAACGTAATAAGTACGTGGAGTAAGTCAATTCACTCCTGCACGTCCTGCATCTAATAAAATCATCAAACATGCACTCGGCTGAAACACTCATCCGCTACAGTTCTTGGACCTGTCAAGCTTTGTGCTCTCACACATAATTTCTAACCAAATACTGAGATTTTGAAGACAAAAGTAGGCTTGTCATATCATATAGAAATTTACAGGTTTAACACACGGTCTAACGCACGGTCAAAAAACTGTGTAGCTTCCATCAATATTGGACTCCAAACTGCTTACGTCACATCCGTCACAACTTTAACTACGCAGTGCTGTCATAACATAAACATCCAAAAACATAAACAATAACCTTTTTATCATTTATAAATGACTAAATTATGCCTTTAAAACAATTTTAAACATTATGAATTTACATGAAATTACTGTTATTAGATTTTAATCATTTTTAACTAGATATTTAGTATTAATCAATAATTTGCATATTGGCTCTTACAGTAACCTTTATGTTTTGTATGCCTGTACATTAGGGACCGACCCATTTGAGATTTTCAGAACCGATATCGATATCAAGATAGGGGAGAGAAAAATAAATCAGTTCATGCTATATCAGCCAATATGTTTCTTAGATCTCTGTTCCATCTGTAGAGATAGATTATACACATTTATTGCATTGGTCATGGTCCCCAGAATGAAGTTATCAAGCACTTGTGGAAAAGAGATACGATAAACAGTATAACGAAGACAAGATGGTCACTCAACTGGAAAGTAACTGTGCATGTATATGAATCACTGTTTGACACTCTGGAGAGTGATAATGCTTTTTGTGATTTGTTTGTTTACGAAAGTAAAGTGTGAATGTGAGCAGTGTTAAAAAAAATCTCTAAAGACAATATATGACAGATGAAAAAGAGATGGGTAGGTAGCAGAAGATGCAAGAAAGTTGGCAAAGGAAAGACAGTCATACTTTTTCTGTAGCACTGTTGATTTATGAAGCATACTAAACAATAAACCAACTTAAGCTCATGTTGATATACGGCTCAGTGGACTTTCCATATATGCTTACAAAAAAACTCTATTTGTGTAGTATTTAAAGTCCTGCCATATGAGGCATCAGACGAATGAAAGGTGTTATGGAGCAGTTATGGGGAGATGGATGATAAAAGGTGGATGTGGTAAAAAAAAAAAAAAAAATGGAGGGAGGAGATGAAAGCGGGAGAAGGAGGTGATTGTTTCTGGTGATAGGCTACTTCACTGCTTCCTTTATTCACCTGTCGGGAAAGAAATATTGTAAGTGCTCTTTAAGTGCTGCCATTTTCTTCCCACAATGATTGGACAAAGTGATGCTATCTCATTCACATACAGGATGTTAAGACTCATAAATCCAAATAAAAGAAAGTTGAGTGAACAACTTAGGTGGGAAATGCGGATCCTTTTTACCCCAAAGTAATGACTTGGTGGTCAAGTATATATTCTGTGCCATCAGATTTAAGACTGTGAGAGGCAGGAAGGAAGGAAGGAAGAGAAGACGAAACTTAGACCAGAGTAAGAGGTGGTGAGGAGGCAGCCAGGCGGACACATTTCCCCTAAAATTGTTAGACTGAATAATGAGAATTGATGATTGTTGAAAGAAGAGAGATTGAGACGGGAAAGATCTGAGAGCTTCAGAGTAAAATCCTTGAAATAGACGATTGAAGTTTTTCACAATAAAAGGAAATTAGGAACCCTGAATGATATGTAGCTATCTTTTTGTTGACAGTCAGTCCGGTTATAACTTTTGTTGTGTCATGTAACCTCTTTCTAAGGTCTTGATAACTAATTATTGTATAATTAATTAATTCAAACTTTAATTGTCTCCCATGGAAAGAAACTAATTTTGGCCGCTTGTATCTTGTTCTTTCGGTCACTACCCATAGCTTATGACATGTTGTGAGTAACGTGGATGATAATGTCTGGTCTGACTTGCAGATGAAAGGATTCTTTGTGCACATATCAACAATTAATTTGAGCAACTTATCCCTGCTTTGATTGGCACAATTAGTAAGATAAAATACCTCAATATGTCATGACTTGGAATTCAAGAACTGATTAGCCAAGCTAGTCAAGTGAGCTAGCTTTGTGTAAAAATTGTTCCTCCTCACTCTTTCCATTCATGCCTTAGAGATGTGAGGATCCTGTGTTTTTGGCTTTTTCTTTTTTTGCATTGTGCCTGTGCATGCAGTTGATGCAATCCAAAGTCCTGTCATCTGTTTCCTCCACTGACCAACCACACACTAGTGTGCTGTCTTAAAATTGGTAGCTTGTAGTGAGTTGATGGGCTTAAATCAAAGCTTATTTGAAGACAAACTTTCAATGTAAATAGTTTAATCTCCTTATCTCTTAGTGCCAATTCCTTTTTGTGCTGCAAAATGATGACGTGTGACATGACAAATAATACAACAAATGAAGACAAAAGTCCTTCTACTGCTGATAACTGACTGGTTGTACTGGGCTTACCTGTTTACTGGCATGCCTGTAAGAAATGTAACCAAGCTCCTGCTTTGTTTGCCTTTACAGACTTTGTCGTTTGTTGCCAAGTCGCCTTGGCCAGCAGACCAACTGTCCCTTGATGGAATAACTTTCAACAGTGAGGAACTATTCTGTAAGTACACATCTCACTTAAAGAGCTCGTTAAATTTTTAAAAACACAAACTAAGTGTCAATTTTATTGCATTCATTAGGCTGCACATAGAGTTTCAGTTGACAGGTGCTGCTATGTCTCATCACTACTCTGCATGAAATTTGAGTTGGACTTTATGCAATGCTGACACAGAATGTGATGGAAACAGTATCTGTTTGATGTGAGCAGAAAACACTTGAAATGGTAGAACGAGTTGATAAAAGCAAAGTGGAGAGAAATATTTCATCCTATGTTTTCTTTTCTCGGGCACACTGCAAAATAAAGGAAGCAGCCTGTTGGGTTCTCATTAGGTTAATATGTTGTTGGTTGTGTTTGTTACCTTTGATGAGGCAATCCAAAACGAGCCATGATGCAACCGTTCATAACACCCAAACTACAGATCATTTCAGCACAATACTTCACCTTGTTGAGCCTGAATAATTCACCACATTTCCATTCTTTAATCATCAATTAGTAATAAGACCTAATTCAATTTAATGAAAGTCTCAAAATGCATGCAGGTGTTTGGGGATGAAGTTCTTCGTGCTGCACAGGTTGGGTGAAAGTTGCTTGGGCTTTTATTTATAGATTATTGTGTGCAGAAAAAAAAAAAAGAAATCCACTATAGTGCAGGCTCAGGGCGGCTGTCTGCACACAAAGGCGACTGAAGCTATAAGACTGCAGGACCTCATCACAGCTTGTGTTTTGAGGAGGCCAGTGAAATGTTCTTGCAGTATATATTGGGAAAAACTTTTTTCATATTTTTGAGAAAAGTTAACTGTTCACCTGCAAACAAACTGTGCTGCATTGATTATGTATCTTACAGTGTGCCAGCTGTTCTTGCGGCAAGTTGTAAACAATGTTCAGTAAATGGGGCATCGCCTCAGAAGAAACATCTCATATTCAGCAGCATGAGGCATAATTGTGGCCTAAATTCAAACTTAGTGTGTAAATGTCTCCTGTGTTTCAGGTCTGATGTGTGTGTGTGTCGGTATGAATTGGCTTCAGGCACGCAGCCACAAGCTCGTCCTTAAAGGGATATGAACAAAAAATGCTGATTTAAAAAAAAAAAAGGTCTGTCAATGCTGTGTTGGTCGCACAATTTATCCTCCACTTCTTGATTTGAATGTTCGATTTCCAAGTGTGTAAAAAGTGCCACAAAGAAGATTCTCACCAGAATAAAAAACGTTCCATTTTCATTTTACCTTCATTTTGAATGAAGCCCGGAGATCTTCCAGTGAGAAGCTGAGTGACATGAACACCGTGTCTCTTCCAGTTGATCCCTACTTAGCAGATACTGGTTCTAAATTTGAAATAAGTCAGCACCTGTCACACTTTGGCTTCATCTTGCCTGCAGGAAGGAGGCTGAGGCATGTTGCCATTTGTATATACAGTGTACGCTCCAAACAAATTGCTATCATCAAACCTTGATATAACATATGCTGATGAGAGGCCTGTCTGTGAATTTTCTTTTATTTTCTTTCTTCATAATGTGTTTAGATTGAACAAGAAAAGTTCAGTTGTGAAAACAAATCCAAAAGAACGAACAGAATGATGAGCAGAACCCTGCAGAGTTGATTATCATGGCCGTAGGGTTTGCAATACTCAAAGTCATTTGACCCCTGGTTGTCGTCAAGATTATGATTTGCTAATTGTTGTTAATGCGGATGTTTGCCTTCACTGTAGCTTGTAGTGACCAACATCAGACTTACTTCACTGTCAGCCTTTCGGAGAACACCCACAGATGACCCAGTGGTCCAGTCACTACTCTCAAAGTAAACCCCACAGTCTGAACCCGACCTCTAAAACAATCCACCAGTGTGTCTCGGAGCCACCATAAGTGTATTGTTGTCAGCTTTATGTCAGCATCAGATCCTGTTAGCTTCTATTGGCTCGAGGTGAATTCTCCGGAGAATATCCTGCTGGGTTCTCACATCAGCCAACTTCCACTTGCTGTGGAAAAAATACTAGGGGTCTGGCAGGAGAAACTCCGGGTGAAGTCTGAGTGAAAAATGTAGCTGTTTGCGTATCAGCAGTTTTCCAGGAGTTTTCTGCAAGTGTGAAATATAAACACATTCTGTTCTTGTCTCTGCACTGTTTGGCACCTTTTTATTGATTCACAGTTTATTTTTTCAACTGGTGAAGGATCAGTTCCATTATTTCTTCTTCTCTAAAGTGGCTGCGATGTTATAACTGTGCTAGTAGTAAAAGAAAAGCAGCAATAGTAGAGGCAGTGTTGTCACCATAAAGTTGAGTTTAGTCACATCAAGGCTGACAGAAAAATGCAGGGCTTGGTTCAGGGATTGGTCCCTCGTCAGTCGAGAAAATGAATGTGTGACCCCCTTTTGCACCTCGTAGCTGCTCAGCAGGGGATGCGAGGAGTCGACTCACAAGTCAGATCACACATTTATTCTCACTCGCCCTGCTTTCCCTGCTCGTCTTACTCTGGCAAAATTACAGATAAAGCCAGCTTATGATCTCTCTGTTCTCTCTCTCTCTCTCTCTCTCTCTCTCTGTGTACTTCCTTGTCTTACTCTTTCTGTATCTCAGATTCTTCTCCCTCACATCTTATATTCAATATCTCTACCTCCCACCTCCCTCCGTGTGAATACTGATTAAATTCCAAATGTCGGCGAAAACAAAGATTTTGGATTCCGACTCACCACGTGTGATTCTCCCCTGCACAGCAACGCATAACACAATATTCAGAATAAGCTGACATCTTCAACTTAATCATTTGTGGAATTTCTCCCTCACTTTTCATTTAAATATTTCACTCTACATTTTACTGGAGCTATGTTAATATTTATCTCTGCACAATATTTATTTTAGACCCGACCTGACATCCACTTACTCCATCCATGACTTCAAAGCTTCTGTGAGGAGTTTTAATCTTATGAAAGAGACTGCAATCAGTTTAGATGTCTCTTAATGACCTTAAAAAGCAAATAAAACCAACAGCATAAAGATGGAGTATTTCTATAAATGTATTTTTAATGTCAAAGATTTCTGCCGAGGGCTAGGTGTCAATTTCAACGTCAAAGATTCTCGGGCTTCTAAAAGGAAGTAGGATGAGAGTTTTGTTTTTTGCATTCGAAAGATGGAAAAAATTTGGGGCTGCATAGACAGGGCAATTACAGAAAAGGGGCTGTGATATTCCCTTCTTCCCAAAGGGTTCAAGTACTCCAACACCCAGAATGCACTGGGCTCGTATCCTTGAATGTCTGAAGCCAGCACTGCAGTGTTAAAATAGTTTTCTTCCAAATCCACAGTGACACTGTTTTCTGCCATGTTCTTTCAACGTGAGAGCGGTGATGCTCCTTAGGCAGGCACAGACAAGATGCTACAGGTTGTAGTTCAACAAGCATCTGCAAACTCTGCCCAATAGAGTTTTTCTACATGCAGGGAGCTTTCCTTGCACACACCAAGGGCAGTGAAACCTTTTTTAAAATAATATATATACTGTACATTGTAGCCATAAGCACCTGATGAAAAATCAACAAATTTTGCCTTTTAAAAAAAAAACCCCTACTTATACCTGGACAAGACAGAATCAGCAAAAAATAATTTGTCCACAAGGGGGCGCTAAAATCAACACAGCAAAAAGTTCCTCACAGGAGTTTTAATGAACAGACGCCTTTATTTTAAGATAAGATACACACATTGAATTTGTCTCCTCAATATATCAAAGCAGATGCATCTTTTTGTAGAGGTCAGAGTACTCTTTCAGTGTTCTTAACAATGCTTTGGTGCTGTATCAGGTGCCCTGTTTGTGATGCTAAGGATCAGAAACCTCACGGGCAATTAAAGGAAGTAAAAGCAAAGTAATGATGGTAAGGAATCAATGTCAGCAGTTCAAAGTGCAGCACTACTTTTGGTGTTGACTTTAATCTGAGGGGACAGAATCTCTCCTAATGAACTAAATGAATGACCCTTGACCCCTGTTATAAAAAGTAATTAACTATGTCATTGTTGTGTGTCCTCCCATTCAATAATTTGCTATGCTGGGAACATGTCTTATGAACCTCTTGCATTATTCCTCCCAATGCAAATTCCCATCTGGTGTGATTATCTCTGCGAGTCTTTGTCAGTTTCTGAGACCTCTGTTGGTGCATTCATCTCTTATGCAAAAGAAAAAGTTTCAGACTTATAACCTCTAAGAACCCGAATTAAACAGCCCTGCCGAACTGTATAATAATTCCTAATTATAAAGTATATCCACAAAGTTTCCGAAGACTCAAGGAGTGTGTTTGAAATGACAAAGTTCAGAATATTATAGTAACGTTACACAATCTGATTGACTGTACATTTTGTATGATGGTATAGCACGTTGGAATTGGCTGTTTGGCAACATTCAGATTGAAGGCAAAAGGTCACATGGTAAATGTATATCGCAGTCTGAATAGGGCTTTAGAGACCATGTAACACCCGTACTCCCTGACTTCTACTGGTGTCTCTTGTGTCAGATAGTTTATTTGGAAGTCCTTTTATCTGTGAACATTTTAGAGGATAAACTTTCGTCAAAGATTTGTGACTTCCTGTGGTTTTATACCTCAGGTCTCCCTCTCTTTGTACCCAAATGGAAATTGAAAAACCTGAATCCATTTCTCTTTTGGGAATAAAGCCACAACACTAAAGGAGTGAGGCAGACACAGTTTATTGAACAGCTTTAATTGAATTCAAAATAAACACAAGATGCTTGTTCCCTAACGAAAAGGATAAGCCCTCTGTAAGGTCCCACTCCCCCAATTCATCCCAATGTTCATTTCCTACTGATGAGCTACATGAGTAAACACACAACGTGTCTCTAACATCATGGAAATAAAGTCTAATAAAACTCTGGTCTTTCAGGTCATAGTCTAATGTAAATAAGGCTTCAGGAATGCAGACAGACGTATCGAGTTTGAGGAACTTGAATTAAAATTGAGTAATAAAGCTTTTTTACAGTTTCTAAGGTCTAGATTTTGACAGTAAATTGAGAG